TCATCATTTTAAGTGGGGGAACTTGCACAATCGGTGGCTGACTAAATACTTTTTTGCCCCACTGTATATATATATACACACACACCTGTCATCTCTGAGTGTACAGCATGTGTCAGTTTTTCTCCCTGGCATACTCTTTTTGTCTTAAAACTTTCAGTGTGTGTGTTTAATAGCTTCATTACTCATGTGAATGTCAGTGGCAGGATTTATGGGAGGAAAAACTACAAAAGCTTTTAAAGCATAGGCTGTATTGGTCTCGAGGACTGCCTGCAAATGCTTTTATAACAGTATTTAATGTGCCCTGCCTTTTTCTTCATCAAATGAGTATTTAATAATTCAGGAATGAAAATGTTAGTAATAACAACAGGTCACCGACAAGTTGGTATGAATCACGAAAACTGTGAAAAGCCAAGTAATAAAAGGAAATTCTTCCAATAAGTGCTTGAGAGCCAAACCCAGTTCAGAGAAGGAAAATAACTGTAACCCTGAATCCCAGCCCCACTCTGCTGAATCAGCCTGTGAATAGCCTTCTCAAAGGACCTCAGAGAGCTTGGCGAAACTCACTTTAGAATCTGTAATAAAAGGTTGCTCCCTGCTGGTTTTGAATGAAACTGCATGTACAAAAACAGGTTTCCAGAAGGCTAGTTTAAAGCACATTATTTATCTATAAGTCAATGTACATGTGTAACTGCTGCTCAGTTTCATATGGTGATGTATAAAATTTGCATATCAAAAGCAGCAGTGCATCTTTGTGTATATGATGCAAAATGCAGTGATGTAAAATCCAACCCTTGGTGTTTATAGCTCTTTTCCATCCATCCTCGGCTAGAGCTTTCTCTCACATTTTGTCTCTCATACACATAGCTTTGATTGACGTGCAAAAACGTTTTAAAACACACCCACACATTCTGTATATTTACATGAAGAGTCATGAATCGACTCTGAGTGTAGGTGTACAGTCAACATACTCTATAAACCCACACTTACCTACAAATTCTCTCTTCTTTTGGCAAACACAAACATAACCTTAACACAAACTGTGGGCTTTTCCTTCCTTTGATACAGGGACTATATACAGCCGCTGTATGTTATTAAGCCTCCACAGGCTTCGCTCTAAGCACAGTCCAAAGCCTCAGACTCTCTGACATTCACTGACTATTGTAGCATAAAATATAAAATCTCCGTGCCTTCATCTTGTCATCTGACAAAGTACTGCATTGAATTAGTGGAATTAGGAAGCTATATCATATAAATTGTGGAATAGTCCAAGCTTAGTCCTGCTTACAAGATGATTACTTCTCAGTGTAGCAGGGCCGGTGCATTATGAAATCACAGGCAGAAGAGTAACCTTGGAAGTCTTTCAGATAAAATTTAACTTCTGTCTCCTCTTAAACATTTGTTCAACAATAGTTTAAAGGTCTATATCATACACTATGTGGACAAAAATATTCATGTTTCAAATCTGGTGTTTTTAGTCCCGGCGATGCTGGCTCGTTCTTAAGAGCTCACTGAATTCGAGCATGGTGCTGATGCCTGTGGCATCAACATCAGAACTAAAACTGTTAAGCAGCTCCTGCAGCTCTAATGGTGCCCCAGTACCTTCGTCAATATAGTGTATCTGTTAAAGTAGCCTGTAAGAGATGAATGTGCTTACATTCAGGGGGTTTATCTGTACACCTGTCCTAAAAAAGGTTGTATGATTTTGTTCTGTCATTCATGGGGTGAAGGGTTTATCAGGGCAGGTACGTAAGGCGGTGCAAATTTCTGCAATCGTATCCGCCGTGGTTGGCAAAAATCTTTAGTGTTCAGAATTTGTTGCTCCCCCTCTGTTGTTCTCTCTCCCTGTCTTCTGTCTTCCTCTTTATGTCTGTCTGGCAAATCTTAAACACATTCTGTTGTCTTGTCTGATTAAAATTATGTCTCTGAGCGGGGATAATACCCTTCTGTAAATGTGTTTTCAAACAAATGTCCCATCTAATTATTTGGCAGGCCGCTTGATATGACTTCCTAAGACTTGGGAAAAGACAGGGTGAGCTTGAGCAGAGATTGATGGTTTGGAGAAAGAGAAAATAAATAAATAAACACAGCGGATTTGACAAGGAGGACAGGGGCAAGAAGGAGGCGCAGGGAAAGAGGAAAGAAGGGATTACAATGAATATATTGAGAACAAAGAAACGAAAACAACCGCTGCAAAAGCATGTTTGGGCTGTGCACATCTGTTCTCCACCCTTGTCTATGTATAGTCAAATTCCCTGTTAGACAACAAAGATGAGGGGTAGTTATTGTATTTCCTGGATACTGAAGAGCTTGACAAATTAAAGCCGCATCAGGGAGGGAGACTGAGAGACACAGCAGCTTAAGTCTGTTCCTATGGTAGCAGAGGCTTCCTCACTGCTGTACTGCAGTTAATGACTGGTAACTTTGATAAATGGTATGCACTCATTGACACTTTTAGCTAGATGAGCATGCGCACACCTCCTCTGGTTAACAGTCCATCATCTACTTTGAGATTTTTAAACGCTTGTGGCACCAAAATTGGAATGTGAGACACTCGGTCGCTAAAGAAATTAATGAGTCTAATTAAAAGGTTAGAACAAGAGAACAAACATCAATGCTGTGTGCTGTTTTCATGGATTAAAAATGCACATACGCTGTTGCTCATAGGTTTGGGGTCAACTAGGATATTTAAATTCATGAAAACTTAATCTAACAGATTTGCAGTGAAAAGGAATAGACGTTAATGACATTAGATAAAACATATTTTTGATTGATGGAACAATTTTGTACTGTGTACTTTCTCAGTTTTGCAGCCTTGCAGCCCTTTGGCACTCTGGCTGTTTTTCTGTTCCCATAACAGATCAGTAGTTAAGAGCCAGTGACTGCGCTGGCCACTCCATTATAGGCAAAACACCAGCTGACTGCTTTTTCTGAGTAGTTCCTATGAATGTCGGCGCTGCTTTGGAAATCAACTCCAGTCCTGCTGTATCCACAGGGTATGGCACTACAAAATACAGTGAAAGCCTTCCTTTCTCTTGTTCAAGATCTTTTATATGCTGCACAAATCTCCCACTTTAACACAACCAAAGCCTCAAACCATCAAATTTCCTCCACCACACTTAGCAGATGCTGTCAAACACTATTCCAGCATCATTTCATGTCTGAAAACTTACATCTGCCCAATATTTGTGTGTTGTGTTTTGGGGATTTTTTTCCCTGTCTATAGAAAAAAAATCACCTGCAGGCTGGTGTTTTACAGGAACCATTTAATGCAGTGACCAGTTGAGGACCTATGAACGATCTTTTTCTCAAACTAACCACTTTGTACTGTCACCGGAGAATACTACACAATGCTGACATAAACACCAAAATTTCAGATTGTTCAGTTTGCCTCATGCAATAGCATTTACTTCTTAAAACAAGAAAACTGAGTTATTTTTTTAGTCATGTTGAGTGTAATCAAAACCAGGAACCCTTATGTTTCAGACACAGAAGTAAATTTATTGCTTATGTAATCAGTACAATCGTTTTCAGCTGTGCTAACATAATTTTAAAAAACTGTGGATTTTAGGAGGGGAATTTGTATTTTATATGATAAATTTGCATTAGGTTACATGTTTTGTAGAGTTTTTTAAATATTACTTTAAAATAATACATTATTTATGATTAAGAATTGCATTTTTAAATGGTCATTTGTAAAATTACTGATGAGGTTGACGTTATTTCAAATAAAAACCAAATGTGCTTTACTTTATTAAAAAAAGGAGCAGCAGAGGTTCACACAACTGTGATTACCGACAGACACCAGTGTAGCTACACACTGCCTGATTAATGTACACACACATTAAACACACCTGTACACACACTGCCTTAAGGATTGTGCATTTCTGCGCCTTGGTGGGATGCCCAGATTACTTGAACTGCCTGTCTTTACATCTTAATTAGTGAGAGGATGTCTTTGTGCATAATTACTCACAAATCCCCCTACAGGAAATGAATGCATTAGCCAAACCACGCAAAAAAAAAAAAAAATCACACACACACAATCAATGCTGCTTATTGAGGAGGGCTGTAATGAGACATCTAAAGAACTGGGATTTTAGCTCTGCAGGAGACAAAGGCAGGGTACAATATCAGGGCTTGCAAATAGAGCTCTATACCTCACGTTTGTTTTGTTTTGTTTCCTAACCGCGAGATCCCGTGTGTGCAGAACTGTCACAGGTGCATGCCCGCGGGTGCATGTATAAAACCGGGAACCAAGGAGTACTTGTCTGGCTTTACGCCGAAAATCCAGTGTACTTTGTGTGTTGATAAAGCAGAGATAAAGAGGGTGTGGTCTCAGGAAATCAGCTTATAGAATAATAGAAACATCTGCACTTTGTAGCACACCACCTTAGTAAGAACAAATAATGCCAATTCAAAACTCTTTGCATTCTCACGCACATGGAGCGCCCATCATAAAAACAGCATTTAGGGGTTTTCTCAATAAACAAGTATCATTATCACTAATACTGTGTATTTGACGCTTTCAGACTGCCTGCAGCAGTCAGTCTGCTTCTCTTCTTTAGTGGGAAAATGACAGGGGAGAGGGAGAGAGGGCAAGTTCAAAGTTGAAGTAGATTCTGTGTGGGGTTTTTGTTGTTTTTTTTAAGTCATGTCCTCAGGGAAACAATAACTGTCATGTGGGCTCATTTATCGCATACCCCAGGAAAATCGTCTGATGCATTAAAAACACGCACACCATAACATACAACTGCACTCATTACATACTAATACATAGTGCCCGGGTGCAGACCCATACAGAGATGGAGAGTTGATCACTTGTAGAGCTATAAATCAGAGCAGACAGCTGCTCATTGTGGGTTTCATTTTTTTGTTTCTGCCTGGAAACCTGCTGTGAGATTGGATGAAGTGAAAGAAAGAGAAACGGAGGATGAGAATTCATTAGAAGAGAGAACGTATTATTTAGATGGTTGAAAAGCTCGGGTGTTAAGACGATTCTGGCTGGTAAATTTACCTGCATGAGCCAAAGCTTTTGTGCAGGTTTGAGGGTAGATCTGTTGATGCATCTGTTCGTGTGTGTGTGTGTAGGCTTTCGTCTCATTCACTTGTAATTCTGAGGAAAGTGTTTACAGAGCATTTCTGATAACCATGCTGCTGTGTTCTGCAAACAGATCTCTCTATGAAGACAGCAGTCAGGAAGGAGAGCATTGCACCTTTGTTAACAGCTCTGACAATCTTTGTTTGCAGTGTGTGCACGCGTGCATGTTTTTTCCTGTAAAGCCTGCAGTCATAAGGATCTTACCTTACAGATTCTTAACTGTGAACAACTCTGTCAGACTGTATATGCATTCAAAGGGAGCACTTCAGATATCTAGAACTTTCCTTGCTTTGAAAATGTGTGTACTGTATGTGCTTATGTGCGAGCCTCCCAGAGAAACCCTACAGATTCAAAGCTGTTAAGTCGTCTGCCATACAGCCAGGCGTGTGCCTAAAATACCTAAATTTAATACTTGTGTTCTTCTAACGTTATGTCTCAACTTGAAGCTGTAGAGGTGCTGACTGCTCTCAAGAGCAGCACCAATACATAACCACTGATGCTGTCTGTGCTCATGGGAAGTGTAGTTAAACATCCATCACAAATAACCAGAGCACACAGTCTCCTATTAAATCTTTACAGAGCTGTTGAAGTTGTAGCAGAGCTGTATTGGAAAAGTAGATCTCAGCACATCAAGGTGTTAGACTGCTTCAAAGGCCTTCACACTCAAGAGATTTACAGTAAAAGCGTCTCTGCTCCATTCACAAGCAGGTTCTGTCAAGCCTTGCTGCCAAGCCTGCTGACTGGTTGTGTTGCTCATGTACAAACTCGCACAATTTGCAGTCATCAAATGTAACTACTTCTTCTAGCTGCAATTTTTTTTACTTCAGCTTAAAAAACTACAATGTGTCATTGCTTTAGAACACGTTGTACACTACACTTTCTTACTTTGATAGGTAAATGAGTGATCAGAACCCTTTAGTAGATTATACTTTATACAGTAGTTTATAGATGTTTTCTTAATTATGTGTTTAAGCTGTAAACAGTGTTGGGGAGTAACGGAATACATGTACCGGCGTTACGTATTTAAAATACAAAATATGAGTAACTGTATTCCGTTACAGTTTAAAAGGGTGGTATTCAGAATACGGTTGAAATAAATGGATTATACGGCGGTCTTTTCCTGTTTCATATGTTAGGCTATGCCCTCTCTATTTTTGGTAATTCCACGCAGGTGGAAACCCAAATGAAACGCACATTAAGAGGCTCTAATGCCCGTGTCTCAATCTCGCGGCCCATGTCACCCCTACTTGCAGTCGCATAATGATGTGAAGAAATATTTTTAAAAATTATCATTCAGCAAATGACCTTCCAGAAACGGGAGATGGAAGCATGTAAATATAATGATAACCACTGCAGCCAAACAGAGTGCCTGACGAGCCCAGTTGTAAGTAAGCTATTAAGACTCAACTGGACACGGTGTTTGTTTTCCTCCGAAACAATAAGTTCTGTTTCAACGCCTCTCTCTGTCTCTCGCTGGCAAACAAAGTAAAGCTACAAGCCCGACACGGAACCGACATATTAGCCAGAGGTCCCTTTAGCAATTTTGCCATTAAGGTCTCAGCATTGTTTTTGTTTTTTTAAACCAACATGTCAAAGTTGTTCTGAATCTTTTTTTCCCTCCTTTTCTTTGAGTTATGTTTGCCTGCAAATTGCTTAAAGCTGTTGTCTCTTTACTCAGCTTATTTTTTTCTTTTTTAATCTCCACATTTCTTCCGATTTAATTTCCTTTCTCCACCATCTGATCATATATTGATTCCTGCATCTGAATTAAATATCACTGAGTGACTCCAAATCACTTTTGACTCCAAATAACAGTTATTAGCTATAAGCTGACTGGATTTGTATCCTTCCATTTCTACTCCAGGGTGCTGTGATCACTCCAGCTGCTGCCATTGAGCCCAGTTTGTCTATTCACCCCTCCAGTGTAATGGCTCCTCTAACCCAGCAGATGAACCACCTGTCTCTGGGCCCAACAGGCACTGTAAGTCTCCCCTTTGGCCAGTCAGCTCATCGTGCTGTGTGTGCATGTGTTTGTTTTATCCTTTGAGTTATATGTGTAATATAATTGTACACTTGCAGTTTCAGTGTTTTTCTCAGAGTAGAAGCGCTAGAGCAGAGGAAAACTGCTGTTTTCAGTCTAAAATGTAAAATGATCATAAGACAAATGACAGTCTGTGTTCTTCCCCTTTTATCTGTAGTACATGCCTGCTGCAGCGGCTGCTCCTATGCAAGGAACCTACATTCCCCAGTACACTGCAGTGCCTGCCTCGGCCATCACAGTGGACGTAAGGACAAAAACAACCTGCAAACTTTCATTTGAAATGAAAACTGCTGATTAAACATATATATCTTGTGATATATTAGTCTTGCTTAGCCTTTGGCAATCCGTATAATTCAATGAGAGAAATAATTTACACCAAACCCTCCCCAAAGATCAGAGGCGCTGTTTTACAAGTTCACAAGTAGATAAAGTTAAAATCACAGACTGAAAACTGACCGCACCAGATCAACCTGTCACCTTTAAAAAAAAATGCTAATTGAATTTTTCTCTTTGGATTCCTTTGCTATCTGCCATAAAGGAGTCCCTACTTTAATATAATTGCCCAAAGTTTCAAGGCTTTGTTTCGTTCCTTAATATCTGGCTTTTCCCCCCCTGTTCAGGGTGTGGTGACAGACCCCTCTCCACAGACAGCTGCCCCCTCCTCACAGGACGCCAGTGGGCAGCAGCCTTTACCTGTGGAGAACACAGGAGATCACGCCACAGCCTACTCTTACCAGCAGACTAAGTAAGTGTGATGATTGCAAGTCTGTAATTTTTTTCACATGGTCTTGTACTGCTGGTGCATCCTGACTGGTACATTAACTGTATCTGGAAAAATGAACAGCATCAGCTATAAAGGACTGCAGTACAATTCCCAGATTATGCCGCGCTTTTTCTGTTTTGGTCACAGATGCATGGCAACCTTTGTTTGCAAAATTCTCCTTCTGGCTTTTTATCTTTTTCCTGGTGTTTATCTTGTTTTTCTGCCTCCTAGATACCGACGGGTGGTTTCCTTTACACATAGTGATTGTACAAAGACTGTTGTGCCTGCTTACAAAAAAAAAACGGTAACATTGTTCATGGTTCCCTCAGTCACGTCCTCGCTCACTGACTTTTCTGTCTCTTTTAGATAACAGGATTGGTAGGAATCATTGCTGCATTGCCTTTAGGAGGACTGCACGAAGGCGCTGGAGACGCAGAGTATCAAAAGGAAACGGGACAAAACAAAAAACAAAATCAGAGGTGACATGGACATCACTGACGGGAGAATGCTTCCACTGTGCACGGGCACCAAATAAAAGACAAAACGAAGAAAAAAAAAATATCTTTCTTACCTGGTTGAACTAAGAAAAAGACAGAAGAAAAAGCAAATGATGGTTTGCTAAACTCAAAGACAATGAAATCAATGGCGGTCTCCAACTTTGAGTTTTCATTTTTCACCATGAGACTGGACTTTGCCTCCAAAGGAAAAAAACAGATAAGGGGACGTAAAGAGAAATCTAAAGTCAACCAACTGTACAGAAAAAAATGAACATTTGAATGTGCAGGTAGATTTTCAGACTTTTTTATTGAAAATAGAAGGAAGCCAAGTCTTGAACAAAAACGGGCTGTCTTCCTTTGATATTAAGCTACATTATTTTCATTCTTTTTATTATTTGAGTAGTTTTCTAGAATATTAGTGTTTTCGTAAATCTTTATTGCCTTAATTTTCTCAAACTTTGGGGAAAAAGTTTCCAAGTGTTGAATTATTTAAAAAAAAAAGGACTGAGTTGTTGAATGATTTTTTTTAAAGGGTTCTTTGAGTTTATGAGAGCCTCAGAAATGAAATCTACAAAGCTATCTGTATAAGACAAAAGGTTGTATTTGTATGAAGGTGATTTTAAATTATGTGGTACAGTGCAGGTGATGTTGGTTGACTAGGGAAAAAAATCCTTTTACAACTTGTGGGAGCGGTCAGCCCACCGCTTCCTGGAAATGCAGTTTAGTTCAATCATGGGAAAGAAATTCAGTTTCTCCACCACTTTTTTTGTATTTTTATTTTTTTCATTGCGGTGCTTTTAAAAGTTTTTCCTTTGCCTGCTTGCTTGTCTCATTGCAAAAAGAAAAAGGAACATTTCTGACTTTGAGAAAAAGCAGAGAAAAAAAAGCTAGGATTTTTAAATGTGCAAAAAGCAATAGTTTTAGTAAAACTGTTGACAGTTTCTTGAGTCTTTCTTAACTGTTGAACAAAAATACAGCCCGCGGGTGGCATATTTTATACCAAAGATGAAGAAACTAAGTTGTAAAGAGATCTTCCTGTTGCTTTTTCTTAATTTTTTCCACTTTGAATCTGCTTTTTGGTTTTTGTCAAGCTGTTGCTGCGTAAAATGATCAGTGAATGAGAGCATGCAGTTGGTCCTTTAGCACATTTGCCTCAATCGGACGAAATGTTTTGTGCGTCATGTGATCAAACTACCACCGCATCTAAAACCCTGTGGTATCCTGGTGAAAAAGCTACTTTTTTTAGACACCCAACGACATCCTGCCGAGGCCTCATCGACTGACCTTGCATAACAACGCCGAGATGGCATAGCTCGCGATGAATGCTTCCCAAAATATGACAGATTTAATTGTTTTGCATAATCTAAGTCCAACTCACTGTTTTGTCTCGTTCTTGCCAAACACAAGCCACTGAAAATATGAGCAGGTCGATGATCTCTGTGAGAGGAAAGGGCATTCCTGTTGAACGAAATGATTTCAGCTTATATATATTCTCCTTAAAAAATGAGGAGAATTACTTTTATGTTGCCTTTACTTTTTGGGGTTTTTTTTCTCTTTTTGATGATTATGTGTGAGCTGCTAAACACTTTTCAGTATTGGGGATTGAGGTTGTCTTATGTTGGGTCTCCGTGGAATATTTGCACCTCCAGAGTGACTGTAATTGATCATTTTAAGCAGAATAAAGATGAAAGAAACACAAACGTGCATTATTGTGCCTAGAGAATATCGGTCGAGAACAGAAGAAAACTTAAGATGAACTTTAACTGGCTCGCACTGGTTCTGAGGTCACACCCTCGAAGACTCACGCCTTGACTTTCCACCAATGAAAGGAAGCTAAGGAGAGACACAGGAAACAAATGGACATAGGAGAAAACAAAATTGGTTTAACCAAAATCAAATGGATAGAAAGCTCTAAAATAAACAGGGGTAGGGAGTGAAAGAGAGTAGAGAACTCAAAATCAAAAGTAATATTTATAAGATCTTTTTTTTTGTACAGGTGTGTACAAGAAGATGCAACAGAAGTAACTTAGCTATTTTTTTTATTTGCTTGGTCTCATGCCTCCCATGTCTTTAAAATTGTGATTTTTGAGAGTGTCTGTAGAACCAGTGGATATTCCTGTAGCTTCAGATGTGTCTTTTTGTTTGTTTCTTTGTTTTTTTTTTTCTTTTTAGTCAAAACTTTCAATAAAAAATAACAAAAACGAAGTCAAATCCGTACTCGTCCTGGATATTCTGCAGGAACAACACACTACCACTGGAGTGCGCTATTGTTTCCTGTAGAAGGAAAGGACTGAAAGTCCATTGGTGTGCACGTGTGCAATTTTAGTAAGTGACCAAGGTAAGTTCACACACGCAAAATGGTTTTAACTGCTGTAAAGGATTAAAAACGTTTAAGCGTTTAGTTTCACCAAGCGAGATTATGAAACTACAGCTCCAAAAAGATGCAGTTAGTTGAGAAGTTTATTACATACAGTACTGACAAGAGAGCTCATTATTGCCAAAGCAGAAACAGTGCAAGCAGTCTGCATCAAATGACAATCATGCATCATTTTCTCCAGCGCAATGACAACAAAATGTCAAGAGACAGTTTTATTCATGCAGTTTAGTCATACATCATACTTGCTGTCCCTGTGAACAAATTACTGTCATGAAATCTTTATTTTTATTCGTCATTTTTTCTTTATAAAGAAATAATAAATAACGAGGAAAGTACCAAAATATTACTTTGTAACAGTTGCCAGTTTCATCTACCAGCTGAATCAGCAGGATGTAAAAACAGTGTCTCTGCTTCAAGTCCATCCATCCATCCATCCATCCATGTGCTTCACACTAATGGATTGTCATTGCTAACAGGGCTTAATTTTTCTTTTCCCAAACTGCTCCATTTATACAACTGAATGAACCACTTGTGTACAACTACCCAACAATACTTTGCTCAGAATGCAAGCCTTTTATAACTCACCGCAGCAATATACGACTATGATGCATTTAGTTAAAACAAGAGAAGCACGTAGAACTGCTGTAGCACTGAATGACTTTCTGTGATGACCAAAATTAGTTAAGTAGGTTGTATGTAAATAATTTTAAACTAATATGAAAATAATGAGACAATGGCATAATTTATTAGGGAAATGTTAATTCAAAAAACCCATCGTTGTGCGCTTAAAGTTTGGCAAGACCATACACAATATTAAACAATACATTAAAGCTACAGTACAACAATTTGCTACCATTTTCAGTGCTATAACATGTAAAATGCAGGGAAAGAAACAGTAACTCATGCTCTGGTCTAAAGCGGGCGTTTGACTCATTTTGGGATTTGCACAACAAGCACATGGAGACTGATGGATGCTCTTATATTTGTGTGGCATTTAGACAAACACTATCACTATTTTGTTGAGCACAGTCAACTAAATTAAAAAAAAGTACATTAATTTTTGTAAGATTCCCTGAGGTAGAGAATGAAGAGTGGTCTAATGCTTTTTAAAGCTGCTTTTACATATTTTATCTGAAGCTAAAACCCTCAAAGATGCCAGCACAACGTACTGCATTGATTTTGAGGCTCTTCAGTTTTGTTTTGTTTTGTTTTTTTTAACTAAAAGCTAGTTCATGTCTCAACCTGAATAATAACACATTTGATTGTTAACATCCAGTCCAGGCATCTTGGCACATGCAACTGTAGGATTCTCCGAACCTCTTGCAGAATTACAGCAGTTCCCAGGCCTTTCAATAGCCAGTGATTCCCTCTGTAACCTACGCTCTCAGTAGCAGGTGCGAATGAAGATGATGAAAACTAAGACAGCAGTCATAATTGTTAGCGCCGAAAATAGAAAGATGAGGCCGGCAAAGACGGGGTTTGACAAAGGAGGGATTTTCTTCACTTCGGAAGGAATCATGTTGGACATACTCAGCATGTAGCCCAAACTCCAGCCTATATTAGTTTTCTTTACCTACAGGAAAAGAAAGAAAACAAGTAATTTGAACGTTTTATATTTGTTAAAACCACATGCTTCCAACACCAGTACACAACCTTGCATGTCAGCGGAATGAAAATCATGAAATTGTATAATTACAGCTGTAGAGCAAAAGATGAGTCATAGCACCCGAAGAAGAACAGGCTCTCTCGTAACACAAAGTCTTGAAAGAACCCATCAAGCAGCAGACATCCCAAACTGCACACTAACGCTTTTGTTGGAAATTGGGAGAATTGCCAGCTGTTAAAGTCTTGTCTTGAGTGCAAAAGGCCGAACGCTCTTTGCAGTGTGGAAACATTGGCTGTAATCGTTCGTCCTTTGTGAATCATGAGTAATATACCGAGTGTCAAAGACCAGGAATCCCCTTCTGCTGAGGGAGTTTCTTTGTGACAAATTGATGGCATGCCTTCCGCTCTTTAGCTTTTTCACTGCAGACTATTCCTACGACATCAACAACAGTTTCAAGTGGGTGGCCTCATTCACATACGACTGCCAAAGGCAGTTAAATGGCTTCCTGTATTTGAACATGTATCAACTGTCAACAGCTTTCCAAAACAACTCTCACCAAATTAGTACATCTTACAGTTATATTTCAAGAAGAATTAGAGCACAAGCCATCCATAAACTTTGAACAATGGGAGGATTGTAATGTCCTCATAGAAGGCAGTAGTGGAACTTACAAATAAAAAGAATACTATTTGTGTCTTATTTGCTGCTGTTTAACCAACCTGTTGTAGAAAGTTAATGTTTTTCCAGGTGTCAGTGTCGAATTTGTATCCATCTGCCAGCAGAGTAAAGACGTAATGACCTGCGTAACAGTGGGTCTCGATGTATTTGACGTTCTTTTGTGCGTTCAGCTGAAAGAAGGTTAAACAAAGATCAGAGTTTAGCCTGTGATTGCAATGACACAAGCTAATTGTATTAATTTCAGTTTAATCCCATTTCAGTGAGAAATGATAACGATTATTTAATCAAGATCATGAAAATATTGTGTAACAAAGACGGAGTGCAGTTTATTTCATTTCTTTTATCCTGAAGTAACTTTGTTTCTTTTGCACAGCTGCACTCTACAGCTGTGGTTAGCACAAGCATATCTCTCTAAATCACTTTCTTGGCCTGACAGTGCCTTTGTTACCTAACTGATCATGTTTTTAAAAACTGATGTGGCAGACACTCGCAACAAAATCGAGGGTCGGGGAGATGATTTCAAACATGCCGTTGGTGTTGGTGCCGAGAGAGGGTGCTCTGAGTTTTTTATAAACTGCAGACCTACTGGGATTGAGTGAGTGGTATTTCTCTGGGGAAAAATGCCTTGTTGATTTCAGAGGTCATCTGAGAATGGCCAGACTGCTTAGAGGAAAGGGAACAGTAACTCAAATAACCACTTGTGGCATGGTTGCTGGGTGCCAGACAACTAGAGTATACAAAAGCACAGGCTCACTAAAGGTCAAGAGAAGAGCGGAAAAATGTTGCCTGGTCTAATGACCCTAGATTTCTGCTGTGACATTCAGATGATAGGGCCAGACTTTGGTGCAAAAAGCCTGAAAGCGTGCTGCTTTGTATTAATGGTTCAACGTGGTGTTGAGGATATTTTCTTGGCATATTTTGGGCCCCTTAGTACCAATTGATCCTCCTTTAAATGCCACAGTTTTGAAGGTTGAAGGGGGTGCAACTCATTAAAGGTGTACCTAATAGAGTGTCCAGTCAGTGTATATTACTAGTAAAAAATGTGGACACACGAGCAATAAGAAGAAAATGTGGGTGCACAGCATTGTCAGAGCTGGTGAGTAGTTTACTTTCTGTTGTGCCTTCTGTTCTAATCTTGATGAATGAAAATGACAGCGTATTTTACGTAATTACCTTCATATTAATTCTGTCATTCTCTCCTTCCTAAACATGATTTCTGTTCTTCCTCACCTTAATTTCTCAATTTTCTACCTGTATTAAAACTTACCGTTGCCCAGTTTTTGTGGCAGAAGTTCCTAACTGAGGTGTTGAAGTGATTAATGTTCGATGTGCCATTCAACTGCAGAGCCACGGCAGTATAGAAGAATCCAGCGTATGCCTGGTCGGACCAGCAGAAACACACACACTAGCTTGTTTTGCATCGTGATCTATTTGCTTTCATGTGTTATATTTGCACTGCGTGTTACCAGGAAATCTCCGGTGACTGGTGGCTGCTCCACCCCGTTGAAGGAACACTGAGACGAGGAGCAGGTCTTGAAATCAAATATGGATTTCACTACTTTCCCACAGCTGTCTGAGTCGCCACCACCAAAGAAGGTCAGCTCTTGATTGGGGTCGTAGTTTTGCGGTTTCTTTGTACACTGTGACTCAAAAATTGATGATGCCTTTCTGGTAGTATTGAAACCTTTAGGATAGCAGGGGTTTGTTATGTTTTTGGGGTTAGATGATTGCTGGAAAATAAAAATTTAAAAAAAAAATGTCAAAAGATGACGATTTTTTAAGAAGAAGGCAAAATCTATAAATAATAGGACAGAAAAAGACCCCAACCCTGAACTGGATAAGAGGAAAAAAAATGAATGGATGGATATTCGTTATGCCTTTACAGCCACATTATCTCCACACTGTAGGCCTTATTTCTTTAAACTATACAACACCACATACAAAGTCTGAAGTAAACAGAAACTATAAGGTTAAGCTGTCATACCATCACTCTGATGCACTTTCAGCATATTTCTTGTAGAATCACTATTAGTTTCAAGAATGAAGCTATGAATTACCAGAAATGATGCATTTCTCCCAGACTAGCTTGACGACAATCACGGTTCGATCAATATTCTTAATGACATAATGCATCCCTGGATCCTTTGGCTGTTAGCAGCTCAGGGACAGCAGCGTTCACTAATCATTCCACAAATTGGCCATTAATGGATTTCGCAGTGCACATGTGTGCAAAGAGCCAGACGTTCCCACTGCACTTAAACGATAGCACAGTAACGCATAACAACCTAAGGAAAGAACCACCACTCTTATAGTACCTTGGGAATATGAGAGTTCAGTGAAAGACACAATTTTTTTTCTGTGCATACTCGTAAAAGAAACAGAGGAAAAAGTCATTCACCTGCACTACTTTCTCCAGAACCAACTTCCCAGCTTCATTTTTGCCATAGCAGAGGAAACTGTGTGTGTAGACATTGTAAGGGTAACCATACAGTTTGACACGCAAGTAGTCGGC